GATTAATAAAGAGTTTTTATTTGTTTATAGAATCAGTTAGACATTCACATTCGGGTATCCATTTTGGTACCTATAATTTCTTGCGGGAATCTGTTTTTTTTTTAGTTTTAAAATTAGATTCTGTTTGGGTATTATAAATTTTTGGGTGGGTTTCTAATCGATTCGTCCTTCAAGGTCTGGGTGGGTTCGGTTCTGATGTATATGAACCTAAAAAATATGTAAATAACCAATGTATCTTAAATGAATTCGAATATTTGCAACAAAAGTAACCAAAATTTTGGTTTTATTTATTCAAACTAAAAATAACCTAAAATAAAAAACAAAAATTAACTAAATAAACAAGTAACCATATTACTCGATTTGATTCGAGTTTGATTATTATGTACATGTACGAACCTAAAAATATTCAAGTAACTAATATACAATTAGCTATATTGTGTGGCATATAACACTAATCATGAAAAAGAAAATATGAACTTATAAAAAGATAAATGATTAAATTCCAATATCCGTGCAGATCAAAATCTAGTTTGTTTTTCATACTTAAAGACACTAGTATCAAAAGAAAAAAAAATTAAAAGTATTTGCACTCTACACCCAAACATTATACATTATTTAGATATATACACATTTTAATAATTCATCCACATATTTTAATTCGGAATGACCATATTGTCCATATTACCTACATTACACTGCAAGTCTATATTATTACCAGATTTATCCATCTTCTCCACTAAAACAAATTTATTCTTTAAGATATTATCTCAAAGCAATTTAAAATCTCAAAATAATTTTTGTTTTGATTTCTTCTAAAATCATGTTCGAGTTTTAGTTTTCATCTTGGTTGCAATGAACTCAAACGATAATCGCTCCACCCATCTCCACATTCCCGAAAGAATGTTCGCCCCAGGGCCCCAAGTAAAGAACTATTTGGTAATAGGGTTATCCAGTATCACAAACCATTTAGAATCAGGAAAATATTGGGTGTTGTAGCCAATGATGAAGTTGAAGTTATCTGTTCATCTCTATTCGGAAAACTTGTGGAATAGTGGAGAGTTCTTCCTTTTCTGGCTATTTCAGGCGATACATGATTTGTAGATAGTTGAAGGTGTTGAAGAAGCATGAAGCTTGGTTTTTATAAGACAATAGGTAAAATATATATTATACTAATGGTTTGTCTGCGCTTCGCGCGGATTTGTTTACGTTTGTTTGTATTACTTTTGTGTATTAGAAGCTGGTATGAGATGTTACAAAAAAAAAGAAGAAGCTGGTATGAGAAGATGTGGTGGTGGTGTATGGGAAGACATTCATTTGTGTAAGAATTGTGGTTTCGACAGTTTGTTTTTGTTTGTATCCAGTGTTCCAATTCTGAGGTGGTGGTCGTTTTGTTGTAGGGTTTTTGTGTGTATTCTTTTGTTTTTCTTCAAGTTATTTGAAACCAATTTATTTTGTTAATCTTCTTGGTATATGAAGTCTTAAGCAGTTGCTTTTACATTTTTAATGATATAGTTTTAAAATTTTAAATAGTAGTTTAATTATTTATATTCTCTATCGGATTACTATATGGTGAATTTGTTTTTATGGATTTGAGTGTCTTTTGCATGGAAATATTCAGAGAGAACAACCACTACAAGAAATATTAACATTCTTTAGCTCACGATTAACGCTATAGTAGGTATTTCATAGTGTTTTACCATCTGCCATGTAATCAGCAGCCATCATAGATCCTTCTCTACGATAGCACTTTTCGATGACGCTATTTAATGTTACATACGATAGCAATAGTTGAATGATATTATTAACTTTAATATAACACTATTTTTTTTGTTACAAATTGATTACGATTCATATATTTGTGCTATGATAGATCTTTCGACAATAAACCAAAAAAATAATTATAATAAAATAATTGAAATTAAATCAAAAATTAATTTATACTGAAAGCAAAACAAGTTTTATTTATAAATTAAAATTAGGTTACAAGTTAATTTTGGTTTACATAAGTAAAACAGAAATTAAAAAATAAAATTAGACCACTTCAATATCCCTAACCTAATCTACACTAAACCAAATCTAAAAAGAAAAAAAAACTAAACCTAAAAAACTAAGACAGCAGCCGCCTCCTCCATAGCCTTGCCCCTCTTCCAAGAGCCATGAGCTTTGCCTCCTCCAGGCCACCACACAATTTGCGTCCTCATGCCACCACCACCAACAGCCGCCTCCTATCTTTACCAAAAACAAAAACAAATCAGATTCATAAAAGGAAAATAGAGAGGAGATACACAAATACAAAAAGGGAGAGAGGGAGAGAGGTCGACCATGGTGGTGGGAGGATGAATGTGGTGGGAGGGTGAAAGTGGTGGTGGTGGTGGTTGGAGGGCGAACGCGGTGGTGAGACGAAGATGAGATGTGGTGAGAGAAAGATGGGAGATATGAGAGAGGCATGGAGAGAGATGGGAGTGATGAGAGATATGGAGATGAGAGTGAAGAAGAAAATGAAGTTTCAGATCTGTCGAGGAGAAAAGAGAGATAGAGGGGGAAAAAAATAAAAACTAAGTCCCTGAATGTTGTGCAGTACAAAAGTAGAACAAAAGGACATGCAAAGCCCCTGCATTTAATGAGCCATTTACGTCTAAAAACACATATCAAAATAAAATAATAAAATATGAAGATTGTCTGCATGCAGGAGAGAGTGTGTGGAAAAAACTGTTCTGCATGTTTTGGGGAAAAAATGAGTGGGTCCAGACGTAGACAACCAATGCATGTGTACCTTTTTTATTTTTTTCTTTATGTTTGCCTATAAATAGTACACATTCTTCATATTTTTTTTTTATATTTTGCAGGTTATCTCATTCACATATATCTACTAGACCATTAAAAAAATCAGGTACACTATTCTTTTTTTTCAATAAAATATGAAAATTTTGATTTCTTAAAATAAGTTAAAACTTAGATTCCATAATACGAAAAAATCAACTTATTATTTATATATATTATAACATATTTTTGTATTTTAATCATCTAATTAATTTTAAATGTATAATATATACTAGTTTAAAGATTTATGCATGTTAGTGATATTCCATGTATTATTTGCATATAATTATACACTAAATAATTTTTTATAACTGATTAATAATTTTAAACAGTGAAATAGTAAATATAATGATTTAATCGTTCTTATAAGTTCTATAGTACATGCACATGCACGTATTTTATATATTATGTTTAATTAATTTTTTCAGCTTGTATCAATTATATCTATATTAATTAAAAATAATACAACAAATTATGGTACATAATTAATTTATCTAGTAAATTCAAAATTTTTAATCTGTAGACAAAAGTTTAAATTTTTACTGAAAACTATTATGTTAAAAACTTACTTATTATGTAAAAATTTATTATACCACAAAAATAGTTTCATCTTTTATTTACTTCAAATGTATTTTTATTTGTCAGTTATATTTTTTTGTATTCCGTCTCTTATAACTCTTTAGAATTAACTGTCTAATTATTCATATAAATTACATAATATTTTAGAATAAATAATGTGTATGTTATAAAGCTAATATTATTTTCAAATTTGTAGATATGGCGTCTAACTGTGGACAAAACATAAACTTCAATGCACGTCATTCAGAAATATCAGCATGGGTAAATTATTTACTAATATATTTATATAGTTAGTTTGTTTAGAAATATACAAATTTCTGAAATTTTTAAAATGAAGACCATTTGAAATGGGATCATAGACGAGAACAGAGTTGTACGATCAAGCACTTTCCATGAAGAAATATCGTCTAAAAGATCCGTAACCACTTGCTAAATTGTTTATAGTTGACAAGTTCAACAAAGAGTTTAATCTTGATATAAACTACAAGTTTTTCCGAGAAAAACTTGATCAAATGAAAAGAAAGTACAAGAAGTATACGAGTCTTATGAAAAACTCAATGGGTATCTCAGTTGATCCTATTACATCTGTGATTTCTGCATCTGATTCGTGGTGGAAAGATCGTGAAGTAAGTACTTTTAATCTTTATCACGCCCGAAACATCTTAATTAATTTTTAATATGATTTTAATAAAACAAACTTCATAATTTGTTGATAGGTGTGTAAGATTATAAAATCATTTAAACGAAAACCACCAGAGTTTTGGGATATTATGAAACAGTGTTTGAAATTATATGACGTCCGTTCACAATCTCAATATTCTGTGAACCAAAGAAGAGAAGAGATTATGAATGAGGAGTTAGGTAATGATGAAGATTATCTCGATTCAGATATGTTTGGTGATGATATGCCACAAACTCATATCCCAGAAACACAAAAAAGTGAAGATGTGTATCAGGTTAAAGTTGACGATCAAACACGACCCTCCAGTCAGTTTACTCGTGAACCCATACGTCAAGATATGCCACTAAATTTTCCATCTCAGAATCATGCTGCTAGAGGTAAACAACAAGGAAGATTAAGACGTGAGAGTGCTATAGATAGCGTTGTTGGAAGTTCACGAGCCGCTGCAAGGACCAGCTCACGAGGAAGTCGTAAAAAATAATCATTGCATACAACTCTAACAGATATGATGGATGGTTTTCGAGAATTTTAACGCCATAGTTTACAACAACTGCGTCCAGAATTTTTCGATCAAGATAATTACGATGAAATGCGAAAGGGCTGTGAATATATTTGAATCAATGGAAGTTTCAAAGAATACTAACTTTTACTGGGCATGCATTCAAGCATTTAGAGATGAGAGATTTTGGCGAAAGTATTTCATTGATAGAGCTGACAATAGTATTGAAGATAAACTACAGTTTTTGCAAGCTCTGATTGGATATACACGAGACAATGAGTTTGTTGGAAAGCGGTTAGCCTCGGGTCAGAATTCCAGAAGTCCAAATTTAAGTGGTTTTTTTTATGGTAGTCCATCTTCCGATGGTAATAATTCATGGGGTCAAACTTCAGGTGGACCATGGGGAAACATTTCTCAGCAATGGGGTACACCTCCAAATGCTCCGCAATGGGGCACACCTCCAAATTCTCTGCAATGGGGTTCATCATCAAATGTTTCACAATGGGGTACACCTCCATATGCTCAGCAATGGGGCTCATCATCAAATGTTCCACAATGGGGTACACCTCCAATTTCTCAGCAATGGGGTTCATCATCAAATGTTTCACAATGGAATATACCTTCCAATGCTCACCAATGAGGTTCATCAAATATTCCAAAATGGGCAGGTTCATCACCAAATGTTCCATAGTGGGGTACACCGCCAAATGTTCAACATGGATTTTCAGTGGGACCAGAAGAAGAAACAAATACGAATAATCAACAAAGAGGTTCAGTAGAAGCAGAAGGTCGCACTTAAACCAACCTTCACATGAGAGTATCACCGGAATTTGGTTTCACAAATTATTCTTCAGAAGCGAAAATTCCAAGATCACGCAGAAGGGGAGGATTATTCAATATTTGGGGAAATAAACAAGGACCAAATTTAAATGAAAGTCATCAAAGCGAATCTGATGATGAACATTAGTTTCGTGGTGTTTATTGTTTGTTGTTTGTTGTTTGTTAAATGATTATTTTATGTTTCACTTTGTGTTTTCGTCATATCAATTAAGTATAATGAAATATTTCTCATTTTAATTTTATTTATAAATTGTGATTTAAATTTTGATTTAGTATTTACTGAGTTCTTAATAATTTTATTTAACTCTTATCTCATATTTATAGGTATTTCGTATATGTCAGTTGCGAGCACATGGTGTTCAAAATATAAGTTATGAAAAGCGAATTGAGTTGTGGAACTTGGAAAATGAGCAGTTTGAAGAGTTGATCATTCAGCAATCATTAAGTTATTACAATCGATTTTTTGAAAGAGGACCAACTCGGACTAATGGTTGTTTGGGATGGACAAATATTTGGGATCGATTGCAAGAAGATAGTGTTGCTTGTCTCCAGCTATTACGAATGTCCCTTGGCGTTTTTCACACATTGTGTGAAAAATTCCAAACAACATATGGTTTACAACTAACATTAAATGTAAGCATTGAAGAGAGTGTTGCCATGTTTCTAACAATATGTGGGCATAACGAAGTTCAGAGAAATGTTGGATTACAATTTGGACAAACGCAAAGACAGTGAATCGTAAATTTTTTGAAGTTCTTCGAGCGACGGAACTGCTTGCTTGTGACTATATCAAGACTCCCACAACACAAGAACTAAGACGAGTTCCAGAACGACTAGTAATGGATGAGAGATATTGGTCTTATTTTACTGGTTTTGTTGGATTAATGGATGGAGTTCATGTATGCATTAAAGTGAAGCCTGAAGTTCAAGGAATGTATTAGAATCGGCACAATATTACGTCGTTTAATATAATGGCGATTTGAATATGTTATTCACCTATGTTTGGAATGGAGCACCGGGTTCTTTTCACAATACTGCAGTTCTCACAATGGCGCAAGACAATGATTCTGATTTTCCTTTACCTCCAGCCGATAAGTACTATCTCGTTGACTCTGGATATCCAAACAAACAAGGCTTTTTGGCTCCCTATAGGTCTTCACGAAACGGGGTTGTTAGGTATCATATGTCACAGTTTGAAAGTGGCCCTCCTCCGAGAAATGAACAAGAGTTATTTAATCGATATCATGCATCTTTGCGATCTGTTATCGAGAGGACGTTTGGAGTTTGGAAGAAAAAATAGAGGATTCTTTGTGACTTCCTGAGATATGATATGCATGTTCAGAAAAGAGTTGTAACAGCGACAATGGGATTACATAATTTCATTAGAATTTCAAAATTTTCTGATGAAGATTTTGCTGATACAGTGACACCTACAGAGATTGTCAACGCTACCTCTATGATTGATCAAAATGATATGGAAGAAGTAGAAATGGGTCAAGGAAATTTTATGGCAAACATTAGAGAAATTATTGCAAATACATTATGGAAAAACAAAAATGCTCAATGTTAATGTTTTTCAATTTTATTGTACGTTGTAATTGTATTTGTTTGAATGTTCAAATTTTCTTGGTATTTTTAAAATAATAATAATTATTGTTTATATATAAGTATTTATAGTTTATTTTAAATATTTAACTTAATAAATTTTATTTTTAACTTTCGATTAATTAAGCTATTTGGATAAATTATCCTAATCGAAAATTTTCGGGTCTATTTCGGGTCGGGTCTTCGGATTTGGGTAACATGTCCAGGTCTAAACTATAAGTACAAACTAAAATTTCAACAATTTGGAATAAAAAATTCCCATTAGCTTAAGACAATACATAATTATATTTTATGATTATAATATTGATAAAAAGTATATAAATTAATTATATAATTAAATTTCTATTTTAAATAACTAAAAATAAAAGAAAAATCATGATTGAACCAGATTAACCGGTGTGAAAATTGACTCAATAACCATGCCGAGTCATCATGTCCAGTTTTAAAAATATTATTTTATATAATATGTTGATCTGCATTTGATCTGCATTTGATCTGCATTATATGTTTGATGTTCATTTGATCTGCTTGATCTGCATTATTGGTTTGATCTGCATTTTATGATCTGTGTTCTCCATTCGGAGCCTAAAAGGAATAAAGCTCAACCTTAGGTCTAATTTAATCCAACTGTTCAGAAGTGTTATCCATGTATCTCAATCTGATTGGATAGAAACATTTGTTTTTCTTTTTCTATTTTTGTTTTTGTTTTGTCCTTTAATAGTTGGTAATTTGTTTTGCAAGTAATTTTTCTTAGTTATATCTTATTTCATAATTTATATTTTTTAGTTTAAAATTTAAATTTAAAGTTTTATTTTTGAACATAGTAAATTGACATTTATTTAATTTTTAATTTTTAATTAAGTTTGAAAATATTAGATTAATATCAAGATACTGATTTATAATTCGTTTATAAATTTGTTTGTTTGATTCAAAAATTGAAATTTTTAAATTTAGATTTTATGGTTATAGAAATCATTATGATTAAGAGTAAAGTTTAGTTTTTTGATTTAAAGTTTGGATGTTGGAATGTGAGATTTAGGATTAAAATTCAGTATTATGGATTAAAACTGGAAAATAATAGATTTGAAGACTAGATAAAAGATTTGTAGTTAAATATTTAACAATCTAGATTTTAAGTTTATATTTAGAGTATTGAAAGTATATTTATGTTTGAAGTTAGGAGTTAAGATATAGAACTTGATTAAAGATTAAAGATACGTGTTTAGGAGATTATAGTTTAAGATTAAAAATATTAAATTTTGAGTTTAATTTTAAGATTTGAAGTATAATATAAAAATATTATAATTCTAAGGAAGGGTTGTTTTAAGAGTTTAGGGTTTAAAACCATGTTTAAGGTTTAAAACCATGTTTAGGGTTTAGGGGTTCGAATAGCTTTTTTTAGTGTTATAAAATGCTATTATATGTTTTTGATAGCATTACTAAAACCGCTTCAATATTATCTTTGGCATTTAAATCTAATTTTCCGATAATAATTGGTGGAATCAGTGACTTTAAATTCCTGCTCACTTAATTTTTAAAATAACATTAGTTAAGTGTTATTTTTTGTTTTACTCTACCATATTGTTTATCTAACGCTATTATAAAATACAGAAATACTTAACTCATCTACGATAGCAGTTCAGTAAAATGTGCGATTACAATCTGCTATTAATGTAGATTTTTTTTTTTGTAGTGAACGTTTTAGAGTGCAAAGATGTGCTAATGTGCTGGGATGAAAATGGTTTAGGTGTGACAGTTAAGGATTTTTTGGTTTGGTAAAGTCATTGATGTTAACTTGCTGTCTATCATAAATTGTGTCGGAATATTGTTTGTAGAGCTACACTAAATTCTTGTGTAGAAGGGAGGAGTAATGCTTTATAGGTAAGTAGTTTTTTTAATATCGTTAAGGTGAATATGTGTTATATGACAATTGGTGTTAATTGTATATATGTATAGGTGTGAGGAAGCAAATAACATTTTCCCACATTAGCTACATTATTAGTCCTTAAGTTAAGCAGAATATTTTTGTGTTCGATGGAGGGGAAAAAAGACACTGGGTACCTATGATGCCATAACGAAGCGGAGATTTCGCGGTGCTCAAGTTTTTGTTTTGTTATGTTCATCAGATGGTGAGGGGTTCTTCTTAACCATTAGGTAAGACATTGAGAAGTCTGAACACAGTTAAAGAAGGAATGCAACATTTTGTGATTATTTTTACGCTGAGGAACTTCACCTTCTTTGTTGTGAAAGAATAAGTTTTTACGATTTGTTAAATTTTGATGTGGTTCATTTGTTTTTATTTTAAAACTTCCGTGACCTATGGGTTTACCCGCTTTAAACATTACTACCATTTTTCATATTAAGTAATAAGTATTATCATGAGTAACTACGATAAGACCTGCGCCTTGCGCATTGTGAATACTATATGTAATGAAAATATAAATTTTAGTATTGACAAATTTAAAATTTATATATGGTTTTTTTATATGTATTTGAAAGTTTATAATTTTGGAATTTTTATATAATTATCTATATATAGAATCAGAAACAATTGTAATTATAACTATAAATCAAATCTTAGAATTTAATGGACCTGATTTCATTTATCTTTTCACTTTTCAGTGTTCGAGTGATGAAAAAATAATTGGAGTGTCACTGGGCTTGATTGGTAGAGTATTAGCAAATTCCCTAATATTTTTTTTAAAAAGCAGTTTGTAAAGTATTAGTATTTAAAATATAGAAAGTTTCAAAAATAATTTTATATAATTTATTTATTTGTCTAATAATATTAGAAAATTACATTTTTTACAAATTACATTTTTTAAATAAATTTATAGAAAATTAAGTTAAATTTTAAATTATTTTTAAAATAATATTTTAAGTTTTTCAAATACAAATAAACAATTTAAAATTAATTATCGTCAGGATTTAACATAACCATAATGATTTAAAAAATTAAAAAAATTAAAAATTAACTCAGCTTTTTATCATGATTTAACAATTTAAAAATTAATTATAGTTATGAGAAGTTTACGTTCACGTGTCAATCCTATTTATTTTCAATTTTTCTCTTGTTGTGTTTTTTTTATATTTTGGTTATTACTCGATATAAATATTTATTTTTGAAGTTTATTCTCATTGCATTTGTTTGTTTTGACCTGGAATTTAGAAAATACTTAAGATTTAAAATAATTAAAGAAATACAATATACTTAGGTTAAGATCTTCACTTTATGCACAATAAGTATTTTATATATATTATTTATTTTATATTTTTCTGCATAATATAAACTAATAAAATAATTAATATATATA